TATGTTACATTTTTCATGTCTGTACGATTAGTCTATTGTTTTAAAATCTACAGCTTTTGGCTAGGTGTGGTGGCTCATGCATGTAATTCCAGTACTTGGGAGGCTGAGGCAGGAGGATCCATTGAGCACGGAAGTTCAAGGCTAGACTAGGCAACATAGAGAGACTCCATCTCTACAAAAAATACAAAAATTAGCTGGGCATGGTAGCACACACCTGTAGTCCCAGGTACTCAGGAGGCTGACCCTGCAGTGAGCCATGATCACGCCACTGCACTCCAGCATGGGTAATAGTGAGACCCTGTCTCAAATAAATATTTTTTTAATAAAAACAAAAATAAAATATACTGGGTTTTTGTTTTTTGAGAGAGAGTCTCTGTCACTCAGGCTAGAGTGCAGTGACTTGATCTCAGCTCTCCGCAGCCTCGACATCCTGGGTTCAAGCCATCCTTCTGCCTCAACCCCTCAAGTAGCTGGGATTACCGGTGCGCACCACCATACCCAGCTAATTTTTGTATTTTTTGTAAAGATGAGGGTCTCATCATGTTGCCCAGGCTGGTCTCGAACTCCTGAGCTCAAGCAATCCGCCCACCTTGGCCTCTCAAAGTGCTAGGATAACAGGCATGAGCCATCATGCCCAGTGAAAATCCACTGATTTGTAATAAAGTAAGTTAAACACAGGAGTGTTTAATAAATTACAAGTGCGTTTCTTTTCTCAGGTGATGTTTTATAAGGTTTGTATAATTTAGGTAACCAGTTGCTATTTACTATCACAATTCAATTACTATTAATTAACATTGTGATTGAAATTTTACAAATAACTGGCGAGTGAATCTGATAAATTGTATCTGAATTAATAAGTTGAAGCTGGTATGCATTTACACCATTGAAGTTGGTAATTACAGAGTTTGAGACCACTTTGAACTACATTTCACTAATTATTGTATTTCAATACTGCTACCTCTTCATTACCGCTTCATGTGACACAGATTACTAATAAATTCCTCTACTGTGAGGTCATTCTCCTAAATTAGAAAGAACCAGAGATGAGACACGTAAGACCCAAAGTGAGTTTGTGGATCACATAGTGAGTCACAGAGATCAGACTCCAAAAAATACCTCCCACTATGTCTATTTTCTAGTTCTAAGTTCAAACCTGGATTTAGAAGAATATATGACTTGACTCCTCATCAGTCTTTTAGCTCAGGTGTGGGTTAGGAAGGATATGTCAGAGTGAAGACGGCATGTGTGTAGAAAGGTACATTTTGAAGTGGTAGACAAATGCTCACATTTGTCTTTGTCAGGAAGTGGCTGTGGGAGCTGAGAATGTGATATCTGCTGACAGGGAATAGGGCTTACGCAGAAGTTGTCTGCATAAGCTTCCAGATTCACTGTTTTAGATAGTTCTTTCAAACTTTTACACGCCACAGAATCTCCAGCTACACTGTTTCTCAGGTGTAGTGGCTCATACCTGTAATTCCAACACTTTAGGACGCCAAGCGGGGAGGATTGCTTAAGCCCAGGAGTTGAGGCCAGCCTGGCCAACATAGTATGACCCCTGTCTCTGTAAGTAATAAATAAAAAGATACATAATAAAAATAGATTGTTTTGTGGGGGAATATATTATGTATATTAAGGGATGATCACCTTTCCAATTTTTTTAAGAATCTTGAGTAAACAAATTTTAGCTGAGCTTTCAGAATCAATGAGGATTGGGATGGCTTCAAGACTATTGCCTATGAGTTGATAATTTAGTGCTATCAACTTTACTCTGCACTGAGGGTAATAATAGCTCCAGGGTTCCTATTTGTTTGCTGGACAAGGGCTTTACATGTATTATCTCTCTTGATCCTCCCCATAATCCTGAGAGGGAGGAGGCCACATAATCCCTATTTTACACATGATTTGGAAACAGCCTTACAGCAGCTAAATCAATGGCCTGAGATTGCACCACTACTAGTGTCTGAGCTGAGATTACATTCAGTGGTTACTCTCACTAAGTTTCTAATAGTTGTTACTGCCATCCACAGTGTGATCTAGTAAATGGATAATTATAGCTTAGATGTTTACAGCACAAAAGCATCTAGTACCAGACTGTGTTTTTCTGTCACATCTGTTAACCGTTTGCTTGAGCCTGAAATTCCTCAGAACAGTTGCGGTGTGGTAGGCAGAATAACGCATCCCCGCCTCACCAAGATGTTCCTGTCCTAAGCTCCAAAGTCTTTGAATGTTATCTTATATGACAAAAGGGATTTTGCAGATGTGATTAAGTTAAGGCTCTTGAGAAGGGGGATTATCCTAAACCAACAAGTAGGGCCCAAAGTAACCATGATGGTCCTTATAAGTGAAAGATGGAGGCAGGAAAGACAGAGTCAGAGGAAATGTGGTGACTGAAGCAAAGGACAGAGTGATGCGATTGCTGCCTGGAGCCACAGACCAAAGATTATGGGCAGCCTCTAGAAGTTGGAAAAGGCAAAGAGAGTCTCCCTCTACAGTCTCCAAAAGCAATGAAGTCTTGCTGACATTTTGACTTTAGCCCAAATCAGGCTTATTTCTGCCAGTTGCAGTGGCTCATGCCTGTAATCCCAACTATTCGGGAGGCTGAGGCAGGAGGATCACTTGAGGCCAGGAGTTTGAGGCTGCAGTGAGCTCTGATCACACCCTGCACTCCAGCAGCCTAGGTGGGGAACAGAATCAGAGACTATCTCTTTTTAAAAAAACAGACTTATTTCTCGGACTCTGTGAGACAATAAATGATAAATTTGTGTTTTTTGTTTTCTGGTTTTTGGGGGTTTTTTTTGAGACAGGGTCCTGCTCTGTCGCCCAGGTTGGAGCCCAGTGGCACAATCTCAGCTCACTGCAACCTCTAACTCTGACTTATGGGTTCATGTGATTCTCTTGCCTCAGCCTCCCCAGTAGCTGGGATTACAGGCAACCACCACAATGCCCGGCTAATTTTTTTGTATTTTTAGTAGAGATGGGGTTTCTCCATGTTGGCCAGGCTGGTGTCAAAACCTGACCTCAGATGATCCCCCCAGCTTGGCCTCCCAAAGAGCTGGAATTACAAGTGTGAGCCGTCATGCCCAGCATATTTGTGTCGTTTTAAGCAAGTAATTTTGTGGTAATTTGTTATAGCAAAAATTGAACACTAATACATATGGTGTCTGGCACTCAGATCCCTCCATTACACAGGGACCAAAATTCAGGCAGCAATGATTGGCAATGCTGCACCTTTACCAAGTGGTGGTAAGTTCTGGTTATTACTCACAGGGGTGAAGACAGAAGGCTGCTACTGGCCCTGAGGTTCTCAGCACCATCCTCACAAGGGCATGTAGAAAGGCCTTGAAATCTTCAGGAGCTTCTTTTATGTTGTCTTTATACCACTAAAGCATTTTAAATTTATTTCAGCATCTGTTAAGCACCACTGTTGTTTAATACATACAGGTTCCAGAAATTCAAAGATAACTAGGACTCAGATCCTTAAGGAGCTTACAGCTCAGTAGGGTGGCAGAAGACATAAACAAATTATTACAATGTAACAAAATGTATGCAAGACAAAAATATCTTCAGGAAAAGAATCCTAGAGCATGAGAATTACAATCTCTGGGGAAGGTAAGAGGGAATGGGAGGCTTGGAAAGGGGTTGATGTCCAAGCTTGGGGCTGACTAACATGTTTGGAATCCCCAGCTTTGGTGGGAGAGGTTCTGACAACCACTCTAGGTCCCAGTGTCATCAGACCTAGTTTCTGCTGGGGCTGGTGCAAAACTTTGAGGTTGGGAAAGGAAGGAGACCCCAAAATGAAGTGGACAGTAATTTGCTGATACCTACACATAGCAGATGATCAGAACTCTGGAGATCCATTCTCCATAACTTCTTGGAAGTTCAACAGATAAAGAAAGTGAAAGGTTTCATGAATTATAATGTGCCAGCTAGACATGAAGTATTATTCACTTGCTTGGGATTCATGCTTAGACACTGGGAAATTCCTTCTCAATTTTTGTCTCTAAGTGAAGTCTACCTTCCAATTAAGTAAACAAACCCAAGATATAAGACAGAAAAGTAGGTCTATGTTTCAATGCCTAACATGTTCCATTTAAAATACAGCAAATTTTGGCTGAAAGAAGTTATCACACAATCTAGGACAAACACCATCTCATGATTCTCCAGGCCTAATCTTAATCCTGAGACCACCACAAACACACCATTTCCTACTGAACACTGATACACTCAGAAACTGAAATCTAAAGCTGGAAAGGGCCTTAACAATTAATTTAATAACAGTTTCTTTTACAGATGAAGAACCCTGAAGCATGGAGGAGTTAAGGTTTAAAAAAAAGAGAAGCTGCCTTGGCGGAGTTTAATGGGCTTTACTAGAAGAGGCTGCGTCGGCTTATTTGATGTCTGTCATAGCTGGAGCTTCATGAAATGACTAAGAGAGAGTACAATCTATTTCTTATGAAGTCTAAAATGTAAAAGAGTATAAAGAATGCTACCACCTAATTTTTTTAAATCATCATTATTATTTCAACTGGAGTTTGAAAAAGTGATTTTCCAACACTGCGTATCATTTTGTTTTTGCTAAGTACTAGCAACTGGGGCAATCCCTTGTAGTGTTTATTCTCATTTAACTCTGAACAACTGGAGGTTTTCCAAAAAGGCTCAAAATGTCGAAATCCATCCTCTTTCGGGGAAACCACAGGTAAATAAGGAAAGACACCTTCGCAGGAGTTCCCCTCACACGCACTCACCCTGGCGCAGGGCCCCACGGAGGCGGTGGAAACGCCCCTCTGGGAGTCGAGCATATTCTCCCGCCGGCTGACGGGTGGTGCCCGGGGGCTGAAGGCGGCTCTGCCAGGTCCCCGGGCTCTGCTACCGCCGCGCCGCGCCGCTCCCCCGGCCTGCAGGACTCGCGCTCTGGGGTCACGTCCAGGACGCGGACAGCTGGGGGGCCGGGGCCGCGAGACAGAAGGGCCTGCCTGGGAGCGGGCGGCGCCGGCGGGGAACCGGGCGTGCCCACGTGACTGCCCCGCCCGCCGCCTGCGGCCCGCCGAGCCCCGCCGCCTCCCTCGGGCTGCAGCTCCCGGCGTGCCCCGCACTCGCCGCTGCCCACCCGCCTGCCCCTCCTTCTCCTCCCAGTGCCACAGAGCCGGAGCCCGAGCTGCCGCCGCAGCCACAGCCGAGGGCACTATGGTAAGAGGGGCGCGCCGGCCTGGAGGCCGCGGCGTGGCGAGAAAAGCCCCCCGCACGGCCCCGGGAGTGAGGCCGCCATTTTAACCTGATTTTGGCCTCCAAGGTGGGGGCTTCTGCGCTGCGGCCGCGCTGCTCTCCAGCCTACCGGCCTGCCCTCCCGCCGTGAGGCCCGGCCCTGCTGCTCTTTGGATTTTGGGGGGCGGGGAGGGCTCGGGCTCGGGCGCCGGCGCGGGTTCAGGGGTAAAGGCCCGGCGGCCGGAGGCGCGAGAGGGTCTTCGGGCTGCAGCTGCTCGCGCCGCCTTTGGCTTTCGCTTCCTAATTTTATCTAACACGCGGGGCTTTAAAATTGGTATGTGCTGCGAAGGCTGTGTGGGTCAGGGTCTGGACGGCCTGTAATAAAACCCTTACGGGGAGATTAAGGAAGAGGGAAAACACTTTTTAAAATGCTTTCTCGCGGTAAAAGCTTTTACACTGGACCCGTTAGTTTTGGAGTGTCTGCATGTGAGCTGTGGGGCCGTGGGCGGTTTGGAGTTTATACTTGATTCTCTTTCCTTATGAGGAAACGTTAGTGGCTAGGATGACTTTAAAGAAAAAAATAGTAGAAGCATTAACTGAAATCCAAAAGTGTTTTTTTAAGGCCAGCCGAGTTGACACAATACAGAAGGTATTTTTGCTGCAGCTCCTGAAGCTCTGACATCACCCAGTGAAATAGGAAACATTTCAGGGATGGGACAACTTGTATTTGTCCCGTTCGCTTCCACGTCCAAACCCCTTTAAGAAGGATGAATGGGCAGGGTGAGTTAGACTCCTTCGCTGTATCGTCTACTTATTCTTAAAATGTGACAAATCTGATTGGACGACTTACATGGTACGGTTCAATTTTTGATGTCCAGACTAAAGTGAGTCTTCTCTAGGCAAACAGTAATTTTGGTTAAAACCAAAATACATGTTCTGAATTACTGTTCTGTGTTTATTTTCAGGCTTCTGGAGTTACAGTGAATGATGAAGTCATCAAAGTTTTTAATGATATGAAAGTAAGGAAATCTTCTACACAAGAGGAGATCAAAAAGAGAAAGAAAGCAGTTCTCTTCTGTTTAAGCGATGACAAAAGACAAATAATTGTAGAGGAAGCAAAGCAGATCTTGGTGGGTGACATTGGTGATACTGTAGAGGACCCCTACACATCTTTTGTGAAGTTGCTACCTCTGAATGATTGCCGATATGCTTTGTACGATGCCACATACGAAACAAAAGAGTCTAAGAAAGAAGACCTAGTATTTATATTCTGGTGTGTAAAAACAAAAGAAAAAAGTACTTTTAAAATGCAAGGATTGTTGTTATCATAGTCGGTCATACCTTTGTTTTTCTTATAAGTGGGATTAAGCAATTTTTTTTTTCCATAGGGCTCCTGAAAGTGCACCTTTAAAAAGCAAGATGATTTACGCTAGCTCTAAAGATGCCATTAAAAAGAAATTTACAGGTACAAACTTGAATATTTTGTGCAGAGAAATTACTCTTTATTAATTATAATAAAGTAATAGGATAATGTTTTTTCTTTTAGGTATTAAACATGAGTGGCAAGTAAATGGCTTGGATGATATTAAGGACCGTTCGACACTTGGAGAGAAATTGGGAGGCAATGTAGTAGTTTCACTTGAAGGAAAACCATTATAAAATGACAGTCAAGTGCCATCTGGATCTTAAGGAGCTTCCATTTCTCTAGCTCAGACCATTGGAATAGTATTAGGTTTTGGTTTTTGGTTTTGTTTTTTTTTGTTGTTTTTTTTTCCACTGGGCCCTTCCAACACAATGAAGGAAATATCATTTATTTAAGCAGCCTATCAGTGATTGCCATTAGACTGTTTAATACTGTTACTTTTATGTAGAACCCAAGGAATGCCTTCCTGTCATATTTTAGCCAAAACAACTGGTTATATGCCTCCCTTGCAGCAGACACTACAATGAATGTGATCGTCAATGTGAATAGCTTAGAATACTACAAAGGATAAGCTAACTGAATGCCTTGAAAGTATTATCCACTGGTCAGATGGTCAACTTTTTTCAGTATTATTTATAGTTGCACTTGATTGCAGTTCTGTGAGGCTTGAGCATTCATACACCTCACCTGCCTTGGCAAGCCTATTTTTGTGACATGGCAGCACGGATATAACACTATGCATTAAAAGCACTTTTTGTAACAAGTTTAATACCCTAAAAGGAATGCCAATTAAGTTTTGTTAACTGTGTCATCAACTTATCCTAGTACCTCAGTGTTCATTCCTGTTACCTGCATATCTTAAATAGCTGTTATTAATGCCTATTTGTTTTCCATTGAGTGTACACTACTGAATAAGTGTAGGAGTTTTATGTTTACCATGTGAGTCCTGCAACACTAAAGATATTTTGATTATCAGTCATGATGGCAATTTCTGTATAAAAGAGCCTTAAATGGAACATTGTTTTGAGATCAAACTCCCCACCCTCACAAAAATGGCCACGTTGCAATAAAAATTGTGGCATATTACAGAACGTTGCCTTGTTTTCCTTGGAAATTTTGCAAAATGTTATGTGAAACAACTTCTAGGGTAAGAACAGCTATTAATCTCTGCACTGGTCATTTGAGAATTTTTTTGTATAACATTCATGTGTGATATTTTCCAGATTTGTTGGATTTATTTGGTTTAAAAAAGATTCTATCTTAAAGCCAACTAATATAAAATACCATTGTTAAAGAATGGTACTTTTATAAACATTAGTGTATTTATTATGTGTTAATATGAAGATCAGAAATTATTTTTTTCACTTTGGCATAAATACTTTTCAATATCTGATTTGTTCTCTGGATAAATTAGCATAGTTATTTTTTTATTTACATTTACATTTCTTAGTAGTTGTATAGTAGCAGGAAGCTCTCATTGCTTATTTGGTCATAAGGAAAATATTTGTAAAATGTTGTCCTTCAACACTTTAATATTTCTGATGTTTTGGAACAGTCATTTCACCTATTTCTGAATATATTTTGCAAATTGAATTGGAGTAGGAATTGATAAAGCAGTCTTAAACATTTGTAGTGGGATTTGGCTGTGGTCCAGGCTGCGCTCCTTATAGAGAATTTGATCTGTTCAGTGTGAGCAGTTTGCTGTTAGCCAGGGCTATTTATGGCAAACACATGCTTTTGTATCTTGTCATAGTTATCCACAAATGGCAAAACTGGACTTGATTCTACTGGTATGCAAAACAGGCATGCTAGTAAGCAGTCAGTCATGGCTCAGAACTTAACCCCGTAGTTCTGAGGAATGCTTTTATGAGAAAACAGGAAAGAAAATATCCCTTAAAATTTTTTTTTGAATGTGTGGAAATAATTTGAGAATGATTAGGTTTTTTCCATATTTTTGAAAGATTTTTCAGACGTGAACATTAAAAATAGGGTTGAAATGTCTAGGCTTCCACTTATATGAATGGTTTGGGATCTTTTTGCACTGAGCAATTTTATTTCAGGCTTCCAGCTGTCCCTGTGAGTTTTCCTGGACATTTCGACCGTTTTTGGTAAGGCCAAACTCTAATAAGCAAAAAGAGAATAATGACATATACTAAACAATATGCGTAACCGATACTTGCACCATGGAATTTCATTTATTTCCTCATACTTTTAAAAAGTAAGGGACTATAAATCAGTTATGTGGTATCTTTTGTTCTTGTAGCTGATTCCTTAACTTTCTTGTATGCCTCATTAGTAATTTCAGAGATTAAATATTGCTTTAAACTGTGATACTTTGATTTGCTAGATTGACAAAACTGATAGTTAATTTCATCTTTGAAATACATCTTTGTGCATAGAGGCAAAAAAATGATAATAATAGTTCACTTGTTGAGAATAATTTGGCATTTGAAATGATTATTTTCTTTTACAATCATTTATAATGAATCAATGTTCCAGTTAGCTTTAAAAGGTATACGGTGCTAATTAGTAAAATATTGAAGGCAATATTTTACTGCTAGCTTGCAAAGTTATGAGTTTAAAAAATAAAATATATGAAAATATTTAAAGCTGTTGAGATGTGTTTACTTATACTGCAGAACATTAAAAGTTTAAAAACTGGTATTTCAGATCAAAAAGGCATTATTATCTTCAGTTTTTTAGGATTTTAGTTGATAATACTTTGTCATTTATCAATACCAATTTTCCTTGAAAACTGAGTATTACAGCAATTAATTTTAGCATTTTCAGACAAATGGGAATAGCTGGCATGTGGCCCAAACTGGCTGTCAGCTGTCATCTTCCATCATTATCTAAAATAGTGTGGCCAGCATTGTGTATTGAAATATGCCTTTTACGTAGATTCGAAGAGAAGGCTTTTTACTGAGTTTGAGTTTCTGTGATACAGAACATTTGTAGCAGCTAATCTATGGAATCTGGCAAATAAACTTTGGGAGGAAATTCTTTTAAAATTGTTTTCTTGTTAAGGAATAATCTCAACAATGGTAAATCATCGAGAGGTTGAGAACACTTCATTAGGTTTGCCACTCAAAAAACAATCTCATTCTGCTCTTCATAGGTCCTGTTTTGCTTGCAAATTTAATAGTAGGAGATGCAAAACAACATGAATGTTCATTTTTCTATGAATAGTATTAAACCTACTAGGGATTTGCAGGCAGGTGCCAGTGAATGTTGCCTTTTTTTGTTGTTGTTGGTTGGTTTTGTTTGTTTGTTTGAGACAGGGTCTCACCCTATTGCCCAGGCTGGAGTGCTGTGGTGCAATTTCAGCTCACTTCAACCTCAACCTCCCCAGCTCAGATGATTCTACCACCTCAGCCTCCCAAGTAGCTGAGACTATAGACATGTACCGCCATGCCTAATTATTTTATTTTACTTTGTTTTATTTTTGTGTCTCTTTTGTAGAGACTCAGTTTTGCCATGTTGCCCAGGCCGATCTCCAACTCCTGGGCTCAAGCTCTGCCCCCACCTCAGCCTCCCAAAAGTGCTAGGATTGCATGTGTGAGCCACCGCACTCTGCCCAAATACTGCTTTTGAAGATAGCATGAGTTTATTGATGTTCTCTGTCTCCTCTCAGCCCATAAAGAAGTCTGAGGCTTCTCTTCTGCTCTGGAGCATCCAACTAATTGCTTTTTCCATGTAGAATTGGAAGAATTATCCCTCCACTTAAATTTCCTGTCATAATGCAATTGGGCAAATTAAATCTCTGAGCATCAGTTTCTTAACCCATAGTATGGGAATGATAATATCTGTCTACCATATGTTTCCTGAGCACTAAATATGGAAATGGTTTTTGAAAACAGGAAAATGCTATGTAAATATAATCTGTTTAAACTACTCATTCCTAATAACTGTATGTAAGTAGATAAATATTAAATGTTTTCGTTAAAGGATGTATTATAAATCATTGAACCTCTATTTTTGTAACTTCCGTGTGTGTGTGTGTGTGTGTGTGTGTGTGTGTGTGTGTGTTTGTTACAGAGTCTCACTCTATCAACCAGGCTAGAGTACAGTGTCGTGACCTCAGCTCACTGCAACCTCCACCTCCTGGGTTCAAGCAATTCTGCCTCAGCCTCCTGGATAGCTGGGACTAGAGGCACATGCTACCACACCTAATTTTTGTATTTTTAGTAGAGATGGGGTTTCGCCATGTTGACCAGCTGGTCTCAAACGCCTGACTTCAGGTGATCTGCCTGCCTCAGCCTCCCAAAGTGCTGAGATTACAGGCATGAGCCACCACACATGGCCTGCACAGCTAATTTTTTAAAAAAATTTTTGCCAAGACGGGGTCTGATAGTGTTGCCTAGGCTAGTCTTGGATTTCTGGCCTTAAGCAATCCTCCCATCTCAGCCTCCCAAAGCACTGGGATTATAGGTGTGAGCCACTGGGCTGAGCCTATTTAGTATATATAGAGATGGGGTTTCACTATGTTGGCCAGGCTGGTCTTGAACTCCTGACCTCAGGAGATATGCCCACCTCGGCCTCTCAAAGTGCTGGGATAACAGGCATGAGCTATTAGGCCAGCCCTATTTAGTATATTTTTAAAGTAGCATCTTTCAAGAATATTTGAAAAACAGTCTTAAGAGTTTTTTCTGAAAAAGCTCGTGATCATAAAAATCTAAAAAGTTTTATATCTCAAAGATGTTCTGAAATATTTCAGTACTGTCAACTTATGGAATCTGTGGGAAACAAGGATTGTTTAGACACATTTACAGAAAGCTGGTGTCTCTTACTTTTTTTTCCAGAAACTTGGATATTTCCCTCCCCTACCCATCTTTTTAAGAAGAGATAGTACTTTATGTTATAATATTTAAGTCCTAGGACTTTGGCATTAGATTCCCTGGTTTTTTACATAGAGCCCTTTAACACTTAGTAATTGGATGGTGTTAGATAAATCATATAGCCTCTCGGAAGCTTACATCTACAAAATGCGGATAATTGTACTCCCATCTCATAGGATTGTGAGGATAACTCAAAGTACTTGGAATAGTTCCTAGCACATAGTAAGTGCTCAGTAGGATGATCCTAAGATTTACAGTCCAAACCAGAACACTTTTTGAGAATGAAAGGGAGAGCTATTAATTATGCCAAGACAACAGGCTTGAGATAAGCCAATCTCAAGCAAACCAGGAGGTGTGGTTCAGAAGTATAGGCTAGTATTAAAATGTAATACTCAAATAGAATGAACTGGCCGGGCACAGTGGCTCACACTTGTAATCCCAGCACTTTGGGAGGCCGAGGCAGTGGATCACGAGATCAGGAGTTCAAGACCAGCCTGGCCAACATGGTGAAACCCCGCTTCTACTAAAATTACAAAAATTAGCTGGGTTTGGTGCCAGGCACTTGTTAATACCAGATACTCGGGAGGCTGAGGCAGAGAATTGCTTGAATCCGGGAGGCAGAGGTTGCAGTGAGTGGAGATCGTGCCACTGCACTCCAGCCTGGCAACAGAGCAAGGCTGTGTCTCAAAAAAATAGAATGAACTATAAAGACTCAAGATCATTTATTTTAATTATATAAAGTATTAGCATACTGACTTGAGGATCTCATGAAGTATATGAGTATTAAGTAAACCTCGGAAAGATCAAATTTGCCTTTTTAAGAGCTTTTCTTTTGACTTTCATACTTGTAAACTGTCAGATATTATATTTTGCTACTACCAGTATGTTTTATCTCTAGCAGCTTCTGCTAATTGTTGCCTTTCATCTCGTGGATTTGGAAAACCAGGTTTGTTATAATTGCGTATAAGCAAATAAATAGACCCAGAGTGAAAGCTTGAGAGAAAAATGGCCGAACACATGAACCTTATTTGTTTGGGCTGTTTAAATAATTTTGTAGTGTACTTTCTGGGTTTGGGATTTTTTTTTTTTTAAATTTAAAAAAGAGAGCTGTAAATAAAAGAGGCATTACTGTATCCCGGGGAAGCATCTGCAGTATTAGTAGTATTTAAGGAAATCATACCTCCGTTGACTGTACCTGTATCATTAAAGGCCCACAAATAAATTTAGAATTTTTTCCCTTTTTTTTTTTTTTTTTTTTTTTTTTTCTCGTTGCCCAGACTGGAGTGCAATGGCACAATCTCGGCTCATCGCAACCTCCATCTCCCAGGTTCAAGTGATTCTCCTGCCTTACCCTCCCAAATAACTTGGATTATAGGCATGCGCCACCATGCCTGGCTAATTTTTTTTTTTTTTAGAGTGGGTTTCTCCATATTGGTCAAGCTGGTCTTGAACTCCCAACCTTACGTGATCTGCCTGCTTCGGCCTCCCAAAGTGTTGGGATTACAGGTGTGAGCCACAAAGCCTGCCCAATTCTTATATTTTTAGTAGATACAGCGTTTCACCCTACTGGCCAAGCTGATCTCGAACTCCTGACCTGAAATGATCCACCCGCCTCAGCTTCCCAAAGTGCTGGAATTACAGGTGTGACCCACTGTGCCCAGCCAAGAGAAGGTTTATTGATCTTTTTTTTTTTTTTTAGATTATTGAAACAAGTAATAAGCTATAAGAGCAATCATTTGATAACCAAAGTACTCTAAAAATATTAATGCCAGCTGGGCATGGTGGCTCACACCTGTAATCCCAGCACTTTGGAAAACCGCGGTAGGTGGATTGCTTGAGTTCAGGAGTTCAAGAACAGCGTAGGCAACATGGCAAAACCCCATCTCTGTAACAAATACAGAAAATAGCTGGGCAAGGTGACGCATACCTATGGTCCCAGGTACTTGGGAGGCTGAGGTAGGAGGACTGCTGGAACCCAGGAGAGCTGAGATCCTGCCGCTGCACTCCAGCCTGGGCGACAGAGACCCTATTTCAAAAAAGAAAAAAATCCCGGTTGACTTTTTTTTTTAGTTTATTAGAATTTCTCTCTCTCTTTTTTTTTTTTTTTTTGAGATAATTTCGTCCTGTCGCCCAGATTCGAGTACAGTGGTGCAGTCTCAGCTCATTGCCACCTCCACCTCCCGGGTTCAAGAGACTCTCACATCTCAGCCTCTAGAGTAGCTGGAAATACAAGTGTGTGCCACCATGCCCGGCTAATTTCTGTATTTTTATTTATTTGTTTTCTGTTTGTTTGTTTGTTTTTAAGACCGAGTCTCGCTTTATTACCCAGGCTGGCGTGCAGTGGCGCCATCTTGGCTCACCGCAATCTCCGCCTGATTCTCCTGCCTCAGCCTGCCAAGTAGCTGGGATTACAGGCATCCGCCACCACACCAAGCTAATTTTTGTATTTTTAGTGGAGACGGGGTTTCACCATGTTGGCCAGGCTGGTCTAGAACTCCTGACCTCAAGTGATCCGCTCACCTTGGCCTCCCAAAGTGCTGGGATTCCAGTGTGAGCCCCGGCACCCGGGCTAGATTTTCGTGCATGTACTCTAGACATGTAATCTAGACACTTTTCATTTACCCTTGACTTCTGACAGCTGATTTGATTCTGCATAGATAGCAATTTAGTAGTTTATCTGGGATTACAGAAAACTTTGAAACAGATTTTTGTTCAAATGAGTAGTCATTTTTCTCTTACATGTGAAAAAGCACTTATGTTAATGGTATATTATTGGGGCATGTTTTCTCTCATGTGTTCTTAATAGTGGAATTTCAAGTATTTCCCTTGGAAAGTTGATAGTTACTGAATTACAAAATTCTTGGGCATATAGCCCAAAGCCTCCTTAATACGTGTTTCTGTGAGCTGATGGGGACTTTTTTTTTTTTTTAACTGCAAACTAAATCACCAAAGAGAAAGGCAGTTCCCAAATTGGCATAATTAGACCTTGTTTGTTTGTTTATTTGTTTATTTGAGACGGAGTTTCACTCTTGTCAGTCGCGCATGTTGGAGTGCAATGGTGCGATCTAAGCTCACTGCAACCTCTGCCTCCCAGGTTCAAGTGATTCTCTTGCCTCAGCCTCCCAATTAGCTGGGACAACAGGCCTGTGCCACCACTCCTGACCTCAGTTGATCCACCTGCCCCAGCCTCCCAAAGTCCTGGAATTACAAGCATGAGCCACCACACCTGGCTTAGACCTAGTTTTATAAAAGGTAGAAATGGGCCAGGCGCAGTGGCTCACACCTGTAATTCCAGCTACTCAGGAGCCAGGTGGGTCACCTGATGTTAGGAGTTAGACACCAGCCTGGTGAATATGGTGAAACCCTATTTCTACAAAAATACAAAAATTAGCTGGGTATAGTGGTCCATGTCTGTAATCCTGGCTACTGGGGAGGCTGAGGCAGGAAATCACTTAATCCTAGGAAGTGGAGGTTGCAGGGAACTGAGATTATACTACTGCACTCCAGCCTGGACGGCAGAGCAAGACTTTGTCTCAAAAATAAATAAATAAGGTAGAAATGGCAGCAGAGTATTTTGTTCTAGAAATCATAAAACTTAGCTGCACCACACAAGAAATAAAATGATATGAAAGATGTCTTATATCCTGGCCAGGCGTGGTGGCTCATGCCTATAATCCAAGCACTTTGGGAGGCCGAGGCAGGTGGATCACCTGAAGCCAGGAGATCGAGTCGAGCTTGGCCAACATGGCGAAACCCCATCTCTACTAACAGTACAAAAATTAGCTGGGCATGGTGGTGAACACCGGTAATCCCAACTACTCAGGAGGCTAAATCGGAAGAATCGCTTGAACCCAGGAGGCGGAGGTAGCAGTGAGCCGAGATTATACCATTGCACTCCAGCCTGGGCGGCAGAGCAAGACTTCATCTCAAAAAAAAAAAAAAAAAAAAAAAAAAAGAAAGCCTAATGACATTCTCATAAGAACATCCTAAAAATGGGCTGATTTATATGATTAATATCATTGAGTAATATGAATGATATTCTGGCTAACTCTCAGAAAATTGTATTTATTTTTATTTCAAAAATAACACATATTTGGTGGGGAACCTCTGCAAAATATAGAAAAGAACAAATAAAGCTAAATCATGAATTGCTTTTAAACACTACAAATTACTGTGTTAAGCAATTATAACTAATAGGAAGACTCCTGTAGTTAAACTGGTTTTAAGTTCTCAGTATATGTTGGTAAGATGGAAACTTTACTGAAATACTGTTTGTGCAGATTCCTTAGGATTTTTCATCCCAGATTTGAATCTTGAAAATTATGCATTGCACCTTCCTGAATGCTCGATGCATGACTTAATGCCATCTACCATAAATATCTGAAACCAAAAAATTTTCTTCTGTTTCTTGTGCCACCTGCTTTTGTTATGTTGGGAATTGATAATAGGCACCCCATGCATAATTTGTACTGTTCCCCAAAGGAATTATTTTACAAAATAAATCCAATATATCAGGATTCTACTTTTCCCCTTCTATTGGTATGATAAAGTTTAATAGTTGCTAGTTCCTGGTGCTCAGTGTAAATAATCCACCCTCTAATCTACTTTGTCCCTTTCATATAAAGATGTAAGATAAAACATAATGTATATATTTTGCACTAAGCCAGAAGCACTCAATTATATTTGATTAAAAAGTGATAGTTACTAATTTGGCTCAAATTACACAGATTATATATTGACTAATTGCCTCGTGGATATTTAGTTTTCATTTAACTAAGAGTTTGCATTTTGTGTGCTATTCCAAGAAAGTCTGGTAATCCCTGTGATTAAAGAAACATGATTTATGTTTGCTGTGGAGAAACATGATCATCCTGGCTACTATGAATCACTCTGGAAACATCCCGTCTGTTTCCCAATTACTCAGCTCAGATCATTAGATCAAATTCAGTTCAACAAACATGAAACACCTTTCTTGGTTTCAAAAAGCTTTCCATGATATAGGGAAGGCAAGCAAGCATATAAACAAATAGTTATGATATAATACAATGTGATAAATACAACCATATGTTACTACTAGATTTAGAAGAGGGAATGCTTAACTTTGGAGTTGATATGGGCTTGGAGAAGGCTTTCCAGAAGTAATGTTTGAGCTGGGTTGTGAAGGATGATAGAGAAGTCAGTATGAAAGGATTTTCCTAGAGAAAGAAAAACTGCAGATGCCTTGCAAATGGTTCATTACAGCTGCTGCTGGGTCAAGCATAAAGTACTGTGATGACAGGAGTGCAGGAGACTTGGGTATGCGCTACATCATTGAGGGCCATGGATACCATGTGAAATTGTGTGCTAAGGAGCTGGTTCAGGGTTTTAAGCAAGTAAGTGGTATGATCTTTCTGAAATACAAATCTGATTGTTTTGTGACCATGATAAGAATGTGGGTAAGGAGAAAGAAATTGAAGGCGATTAAGAGGCCTGAATCAAGGCAGTGGTAAATTCATTTGGAGTGGGTGGATTTGAGAGGTATGTAGGAGAAATGACTAGACTTGATTAATTTCATAATTAAATGAAAGGATGCCGAGCTTTAATAATTACAGGTATTGATCGACTTATGACCTATGCAACTTACGACCATTCGACTTTACGACCACAATCGCTAGCCACGACTGCTCCGCGTCTGGCAGTGCAAACGTTGCCCAGCTGGGCGTAGGACAGTGCAGACCAGCTTCCGGCAGCACTACCATCTCCGCATGCATATAGCCTACTCAACTTACGACCAAATCGTGTTACGACTTGGTATGTCGGAACCAATCGTGGTCGTAAGTCAAGCACTAGGTGTATTTGGAAGATATTGACTATACTTTTAGTATTGTCGACACTTAAGATTATTTAAGTTTTAGAATTGGCTCAGGAAATTCATAAACGTGGAAATAAAAAAAAAAAAAATATATATATATATATATATTTTTTTTTTTGGAGACGGAGTTTCGCTCTTGTTACCCAGGCTGGAGTGCAATGGTGCGATCTTGGCTCACCGCAACCTCCGCCTCCCGGGTTCAAGCAATTCTCCTGCCTCAGCCTCCTGAGAATCTGGAACTACAGGCACGCGCCACCATGCCCAGCTAATTTTTTGTAGTTTTAGTAGAGACGGGGTTTCACCATGTTGACCAGGATGGTCTCGATCTCTTGACCTCGTGATCCACCCGCCTCGGCCTCCCAAAGTTCTGGGATTACAGGCTTGAGCCACCGCACCCGGCCAATAAAAATATATTTAAAACATTTTTAATGAAGATAACATTTTGATAGCATGAAATAAATCATTGGCCAAGAAAATCATGTGTTGTATCTGAATTTAGATTTGTAAGCCTGATTTGCAGCAGCATGTAATAATGGTTTCAATAGATAAGAATTTTTAAAAACTATCATAGCTATAAGATCTTTGAAATGGAATATCCTATAGTTTAAAAAATCATGGTTATATTTTCTGTTATTCTATGTTTTTCCTTTTACTGTAAAACTTGTCTGTCCACATATAAGCCATGGCCGAATTCCTCTATCAAGTATTTGTTTTTATGAATTTTTAACATCATAGAGATTAATACAGGTTTTGCATTGAGATTAATACTGAATTTAACTAGCATATTATTGTCAGCATTTCCCCATCTGGTGACATTTTCAGAAACTCAATTTTTTTTTTTTTTTTTTGAGATGGAGTTGTGCTCTGTCACCCAGGCTGGAGGGCATCAGCCCACTCATGGATCACTGCAACCTCCATCTCCCAGATTCAAGCAATTCTTCTGCCTCAGCCTTTCAAGTAGCTGGGATTACAGGCGCCCACCACAATACCCAGCTAATTTTTGTATTTTTAGTAGAGACAGGGTTTCACCATATTGACCAGGCTCGTCTTGCACTCCTAACCTTAAGTAATCCACCCACCTTGGCCTCCCAAAGTGCTGAGATTAAAGGCGTGAGCCACCGTGCCCAGCCCCTGTATCAAATATTTTATAAATAACTTAATTTAGCAATGTTCTTTTATCATATAATCTGCTCATTAGAGAAAACCTGGCCTCCTCTTTGCTGGTGATAGAAAATGGAATTTTCAGGTCATCTGAAACATCACTTTCTATTAAAGAAGGTTTTAATTTTTACTAGTAAGTACAAGTTATTTATAAACACAGTGTTTATAAATACACAATTCCTTTTACAAGTACCATCCAGAATCAAAGTTTCCTCTTTTTTCACCTCCTTGCAGTAAAACAACAATATTGTTTTTTCATCTTGCTTTTATGGTAAATAAGCTCATTTTTCTGAGAGGCCTTGCACTCATCAGGAAGCATTTACTGAGTGTCTATTTGTAGAACACTGTTCTGGTCATCCTGAGAAATAAATAAACTTCTCAAGGGCACTTTTATAATCCAGTTGCAAAGACAAAATAGACCTGTAAACTAATAAGTATACAGTGATAAGCAATTGAATAAGCATCAAGGGAATGCGAGAAAAAAAAAGAAGGATCCAAAAGAGAACAGATTTTCTGGAACTGAGTTTTATTCATTCATTCATTCATTTTGAAACAGAGTTTTGCTCTATCACCCAGGCTGGAGTGTGATTGTGCCATCACATCTCACTGCAACCTAAAACTGGGCTCAAATGATCCTCTCACCTCAGCCTCCTGCGTAGCTAGGACTATAAGTGCACCACTATGCCTGGCTAATTTTATATTTTATTTTTTTAGAGATGGGGTCTCGATTTGTTGCTCAGGCTGGTCTTGAACTCCTGGGCTCAAGCAATCCTCCTACCTCAGCCTCCCAAAGTGCTGGGATTATAGGCATGAGCCACCACACCCAGCCTAGAAGTGAGTGTTAAACAGCACTTAGAGGGAATAAATGACATTTCCCTTCAAATATAGCTGCTTATTTATTTATTTATTGAGACAGAGAATTGCTTTGTCTCCCAGGCTGTAGTGCAGTGGCTACATCTTGGTTCATTGCAACATCTGCCCCCCAGATTCAAGCGATCCTCGTGCCTCACCGTCCCAAGTAGCTGGGACCACAGGTGTGCACCACCACGCTCAGCTGATTTCTGTATTTTTAATAGAGACAGAGTTTTGCCATGTTGGCCAGCTGGTCTTGAACTCCTGGCCTCAAGTGATCCACCCACATTTGCTTCCCAAAGTGCTGGGACAACAGGCATGAGCCACTGAGCCCAGCCTCGAATTGTTATTTGAAACGTTCCAACAGGCTTTCTTTACTAAGAATCTCTTTAACATCAAGAACAAAAAGGGCCTTTTAATCACCACCTCCATTAAATCATTTGGGAGAAG